GAAGCTGGGTAGTTCTCCCCCACCTAAAGGCAAAGAGTAAAACAACCAACTACAGAATCTATCAGCTTTTCCTGAATGGACATGTGGGAAATGCCTGACACAGAGGGGAGACTAAACATGAGCGTTACTGTCCTTCTCGGTCCTATTCCACGCCATCATTGTTAATTAATATCGCCAAGCCCAGAAATACTTCCAATAAGACTATCTCCACAGTGGTACCTGGGCTCTGAGTAGGAGTTCCGCCTGCATCAATGCTCCGTGCTCTCAGAGCCTGCTCACTCCAGAAGTGAAAGAATTTCCTCATCAACATCTGGCTGCTTGATGCCATGCTTCCTTTTTGCCCCCATATCCGGCACCTTTCCTTCCTCTGGTTCCTCACCCCCAGTGTCCTTGATGGCCGGTCGCTCTGGCTTACAAATGGTCCCCAGTTCTACTGGAGACAAGGAGCAGAAACTCCCTTCCTGCCTACCTGAAGTGACATCGTGATTGATCCCAGTGACAGAAATGACAGCCCCTGTGAGGTTGTTAGAGTTCTCATCAAGCACCATTCCCTTGATGCCCTGGTGAACCTGCAGGAGACAGTGGCCGACAGCAAGTTAGAATCACAGAACAGCTGTGCAGTGGGAGAACTCTGGCCCTTCTCATGGGTCCGCACTGTCCGTCTTCACTAACACCATGGCAGCTGCCTGCAAAGCTGTACTTCACCGCTCTACCAAACCCCAATTCCCTTCTCAGTAGTTGGGGTGACCCTGCTAGAGACTCAGTCAAATCATACTGCCTTTCTTCTCAAAGCCCAACTCAGCAAGGCCTTAGGCTCCTGGGCTGATCTGTAAGGCTGCAGTCCCCAAGAGCAGCCCAGCCTCGACAGCTACCCTCTGCCTGGTTCCTCAGACCTGCTTCCATTCCAGCTGCGCGGCTCCTCTAATCTTTTTAAAATTCTTATTAATTTCATGTGTTTGGGTAGTTTGCCTGCATGTGTGTGCATACCATGTGCATGCCTGGTGTGCAAAGAGGGCCTCAGATTCCCTGGGACTAGAGTCACCAATGACTGTGAGCCACCATGAGGGTGTTGGGAGTCAAACTCAGGTCTTCTGAAAGAGCAGCCAGTACTCTCAACTGCCAAGCCATCTCTCCGGTTCCTCCTGATCTAATCTTGAATTTTGCTTAAATTAAAGAATTTTAAATTGTGATAAAGGCTGTCGAGATGGTCTAGTGGATAAAGGCGTGCGCTGCCGAGCCTGGCAACCTGAGTCTGATCCTGGGACCCAAATGGAGGAAGGAGAGAACAGACTCCCTCCTACAAGTTGTCTTCTGATCTCCAAACACACACCACAGCATGGATGCATGGATGCACCTATACCTACACACACACACGCACGCACGCACGCACGCACGCACGCACGCACACGCGCTTTAAATTGTGATAAAATACTCATACTGTAAATTGTACAGTCCAGTTTATCAGATACACTTGTAATGTGTGCCCAGCATAATGACTCATTTCTAGAACTCTCTTCATGCGATGACACTGAAACTGCTCTCCTTAAGTAGTAACTCCCCATCACTCACTTCTGGGTTTTGAAAACCCACCAATCCCTGGGCTTGCTCCAAGCTCAGGACTTGAAATCCCACCAATCCCCACCCTGGAAATCTCCACCCCCAAGAAACCCTGTACAAGTCTGCCTTTCAGTTCCCTGCTGCTTCTCGCCTGAGCAGAGGCGGCCACCCCCTTGGATCTTTCCCAATAAATCTCTTCTGTGAGGTGTGACTTTGTGGTATTCCTTGGCTCCCAAATGCCAGGAGGCCTTTCCCCTCAGAGCTGCAACAACACTCGCACCTCCCACTCTCTACCCCACCTGCTCCTGCAGCCCCAGCCATCACTCTGCATTCTGTCTCTAAGATTTTAAGAACTCTATCTAAACAAATGGAGTCACATAATATATGTCTATTTGTAACTGGCTTATTTCACTTAGCATAATGTCCTCAAGGTAGTGTCACAGTGTACTTTGTTTTGAAGGCTGAATAATATTCCTTCCTTCCTTCCTTCCTTCCTTCCTTCCTTCCTTCCTTCCTTCCTTCCTCCCTCCCTCCCTCC